TTTTAAATGGGATATGAAACCAGTAGGCTGGAGGCAGAACAGATCTCTCCTTTACACACTGCTGCTGATCTTCTGATGATAATACTGCAGGATTAGAGCTTAAAAGTTGATGTACTATGCATAACTTTAAAATAATGTTATGGAATAGTGGTTATCATTGTCCAGATTGACATTACCACACAAATAAAGTTCATTTTAACTATTTGATTTACACAACAAAAGTGGAGAGTGTTCTTTAGATATTGTATTTTGGCTTCTGCAGGTGAGGAGGTGAATAAGCCAGCAGCCCCTCACAAACGGAAACAAATCACAACGTAAAATCAGGCCTGTTCCTCTCTCGATTTTCAGTCATCGCTCCTCCTTTACGCTTCCGCTCCTCACTCTCAGAGAAAAGGTACAAAACCTGTCACTGGGGCGGTACCTTTTCAAAAGGTACACTTTTGTAACTAAAGGGTGCATATTGTACCATTAAGGTACCAATATGCACCCTTTAGGTACAAAAGTGTACCTTTTGAAAAGGTACCGCCCCAGTGACAGCTTTTGTACCTTTTTTTCTGAGAGTGCTCCGTTAGAGATATGAGGTGTGGTTCATCAGTAATCACGCCACCGGCCTCACACCATTCTTTCACATCCCTTGACCTCGTCCTGTTTGCCGCAGTAATCTTGTAAAACAATTATGAGGTTGAGAATCTGGCTTCTTTTTTCACCTAAGATGAAAAGCAGCAACCTGAGCTGATCTTAGGACAAAATACTAGAACACTCTTTTGTGTCATACTGTCAACAGCCAAGAACTGATGGTCTTCAGACTCTTCACACTGACTGAGAAGGGGATTTCTGCACGTCTGTTGATCTTACTTGGATAACAGATCCTGTCACTTAGCTTGAAAGGTTTTGAACTCTGACTGAACTCACATGATTGTTGTTTTCACTGTACAAAACCATATATGACTCCATTTTTCTAATCATGATTTCAGCCCTTCAAGAAACTTTCATATCGTTTTTGTTTTTCAGGTGGACGTTGAATAATCAAATGTAAAATAACACCGCATAGTCTTCACTGTACAAATTAAATAGAATAAATATAATGAATTAATGTAATTTATCTTTGTTAAAGTTGCAAAAGTATTGGGCTGCTGTCATTTTAAGACAAATGCACGGATACAATATAATGATACGCATCCGTTTTCTTAATGCATAACCGACTGTGTTTACAAGGATACGCGCCGAGACAGGTATTTAGACATAATTTCATCCGTTTAAGCTCAAAAGAAGAGAAATATAACTGAATTCGGTTCTGTTGCGTGCAAGTTCCAGCCTTGTTGCACTTAATGTTTAAACTTTCATTCTGTGATGGTTAAACTACGATCCATACACTTGAAAAACATAAATGCCTTTATTCTATTTTTCTCTGTTCATAGAAATGCTGTAGGTGCATGCCATGACGATGTGTGAATCCTCAAGCGCTGTTGTTGCTATTTGAGCATGTAAAACTAAACCCCCAGAAAACTAATTTTGGTATTTTTTTTAAATGGTCACAAACACTTAAAAAATAAGCAGAACATTAGAAATGTTGAACATTGGAAATCATTTAAAATTCTGCATGCTCATATTGTTTACTAAAATCCCTTTCATTCCTCATTGAGACTATCTAGCACCTTGTGTGCGTAACTTCAGCTGACGTTGGCTGGTGTCGGTGCCGGTGCTCAGATAAACATGTCATTCTGTTTGATGCAGTGACAGTGCGTACTGTGAATGCAAAAGTGTGGCCATGCGTTGTTTGTCTCTAGTGCTTCTCTGCACTGCTTGAGGCCTTGACATAATGACAAACCTTACGTTATTTGTCAGGTATGGTGAATTTTTTTAATGAGCTGAACAAACTTGTGTTTCTCTCACACACTGTTTAAAAAAATCTTTTGTTATGCTATCTCATTGCAGTGTTTTTTTACAAAACATTCATTCGTTTATTCAAACATTCATTCGTTTGTTCGACGTTCGTTACTTTTGATTTATTTTTATTAAAATGTAATTTAATGCAACAGTTTAATTACACTTTGTAAAATATCCAGGCAGTGAGTGAGTTAAATATTGATTAATTGCCATTTTTTGCCATCATGTTGTTTTTTACATTCAGGCAGGACAGTGCAATAGTCATGTATTTATATTGTATCATTCCGTGACAGTCATTTCACATTGAGTCTAAAGTTGCAAACTCTAAAGTTGCAAACTCCACTTTACCACATTAGTGGTATAAACTTGTGGTTTGACTAGTCGAGACTGTTTTCCAAAGATGGCGCCGCTTGTATACATGAAGTGAACTGTCATTATAAAGTATCTTCTTATTAAACGGTCCTTACACTTACAAAGTTCACAATGCTTCGTTTTGCATGTAGGGACCCTCATTATGTTTCTGTGTTAGTGTGGGGCTATTTTGAGCCTTGTTAGTGGTATAAACTAGCGATTTCTTTTTACTTAGTAAATGCCCCCACTACTAGCGTTATACGCTAAACAGATTTTACAGATAAAACTCTTTACATTCGATTATCATGAAAACAAATCTCAGAGAACGGTTGACTAGGTACCGATGTTTTATTAGACCAAAGGTTCATTTTGCACCGGAGTTCTCCTTTAACTAACGGAAACGGGATTCAAGAATATAAACAAACTTAGAGTAGAATATTCCCTTTACTTAGGTTGCACAAAACAGTGATTGATATAAATTCAAATTCAGTTATGCTTGTATTTATGCATAGGGTGGTGTGTTCATGAAAGTTGTAATAAAATGAGATTCTCTTCCCTTAAAAACAAGAAATATCACAATATATCGCCTCTTACAATATCACAATATTTATTGTAACCGCTTTATCGTTCGTGATGCATATCGTATCGGCAGATTCTTGGCAATACACAGTCCTTCTTTCCTCAAATTATCCAGTTTTTCGGCAAGTTACTTTGGACCCATTTTCACTTGTTTTATTCTCCCTGTAGTTTTAGTTTGCACCTTTTATGTCCTTTACACACACATTCTTTGTGCACGGCCTACATATTTCCATTCTAGTGTTGCGCCACACAGAATCCATTGTTGAGTCATTTTGATATTTAAAAAAAAAAATGCGTGTGGCCCAAATATTTCTTTCCTAGTGATTTACCAGACAGTGTCCATTGAAACTGACCAAATCCAATTGTTCCTTTCAACTTCATGTACAAAAGAATGTGAGTTGTGTTTCTGCATCTGACAGGTTTTCTTCAGTGCAAGAGCTCATCTCCCACATACCTGTGTTTTGAACTGCCCTCCATTCAAGAGAAACTAATGTAGGGCTTGCCTGCCTGAATGCTTTAGGAAGAGTGGATTTACATGGGTTTTGTAAGAATTGCACGTCACAGACACACTTATTGTGTGAAGTTAAAAGTATTCATTAGTGCACTAATACTGGTAGAGGAGTACCACCCCACTGTTTTTTTTTCCAGTGTCCTTTTAATGAACCCCGTTTATTTGTAGTAAAAAATCTTTTGTCATTTTTACCAATTTTTATGCATTCTTGCTGAAAAAGTTTCAATTTCTTAAACCTTTGACTAATAGTGTCTTTAAAATATCCATTCAAAATCTATTCCAAAATTATGAATTAAAACATATTTAAAGCCATCTCAACAAAAATGATCTGATTTCAAATGATCTGAAAACAATCCTTTCGACAATTTGTGTGGAAATAATTGACTTAAATGTACATTCACACAGATGTGACTTGTGAAAAAAGTAATACATTTTTTTTTTGTGAACTAATATTTGTCATTTCCAATCAAACTGTAATTTTCAAATTATGCTAAATCTAAAAATAATAGCTAATCGTGTATTTGATACATCAACTAGCAAATTAGCAATAAGACTGACAACTGTTTAGTCCTCAAAGTAAGTATAATCTCATTTTTATTGAGATTTAAAAACCGGAAATGAAAACCGGCTCTGACATGTGCTTGTGCATACACTTTTGGGCCTGGTCCTTGGACGGTGGCATATGCAATAAAGTAAACTCCTAAAATGCTATTTACGCTCTCACTGCTTTAAGCCCTCTGGGCCAAAAGTGCCCATAGTTGAAGAAACACCCATCTATCAAGTTGACTTGGACATATTCAATCCTCTCTTATGACTCTGCACCACACAAAGGTCAGACTGACTTCTCATTCGGAGTTATGTCAGGTATTGCGATACTTTAGTCTTATATAACCGATATATAAATGTTTCCCCAGCCATGTAAACCTAATGTCCTTTTAAAAGTCTATCTTGATAAATGTCATGTGTGTGAGATACTGGCCATATCGCAGCCCTCTGTTGTGACCAGTTGGATTGTTTTCTTGATGGATGATGTAATGAATTTATCATCTGCTCTCTGCCAAAATGGCAGTGCAGTACGGTATTGCAGACAGTAGAGTAGATGATCATGACGTCATCTCCACAATTGAGAGGTAATGTCAATATCATCCACTTTCTTGATATGCCTTTCTTGCTCTCTCTCTCAATTTTTCAATTTCAAATAAGCATTATTACCATGACTGTGTATCACAATGTTGCAAACAAATACAGATCATGTCATATGTAACATAATAAATAAATAAAATAAAATCCATCTAAATAAATGAATCTAATGGATCTCTCTTATTTTGCACCAAACCATCCATCACACTTCACTTACAGCTGCTATAATCAGCCCAACACTCCTGTCAGTCAACTGGCCCAGGCGTTTCCCTCAATCAGAGTGAGTTATAGCTGAGGGAAGGTGCTAGAAATCTCCATTAACAGACTCTGGACTCAATGTGCTGTATTTTTGTGGTATATCTTCCCATATGCAACTTCTCAAAAGGGAAAAGGTTCTTAATGACTAATGTTATTTAAGTTGTTTGAGCAATGGCAGTGCCCCCTAGTGGTCTTATGGCTCAGTGGGAATCCCTGCCTTTCTCTCTTGGGTATGAAATATTCAAAATATTCTCTTTGTCTTTTTCTCTTGTAGATGATTTTAATGGTGTATTTGAGTGATGGGGAGCAGGCCCTGACGGAGGTGCCCATCACTCCGGAGACAACTTGTCGTGATGTGGTGGAGTTCTGTAAGGAACCGGGAGAAAGCGGCTGCCACCTGGCTGAAGTATGGCGTGGAAATGGTGAGTTTCTTTGAGTCCTTCCCTCTTATCCTTAGCCAATTGTAGCAAGTAAATGCAGGGTATTTCCCAGCAATGACTGATGGAGGATATAAGTTTGTCTTTCATTGACATTTCTTAAATTAAATGGTGAAAAATATTGACAATGGGAAGCACTCAGCTTTACTTTAATTTCTACAGACTCCAATAGCCTCTTGTTTTCTCACCTTCCCGCCCTAAACATTTCTGTCAGTAAAAAACATTTAGTGCTTTTACTCTCACAAAGACACACAGGCTCAGTATTTTGAGGAATCTGGCAGCAAATGAAAACACTCGCTTAGTCCTTTCAGACATAACTGCTACTTCTGTTCTGACAGCTGTGCGCATGTTTTTTTCCCTTCATATTTCCATTTTCTCTTGATAATAGTGATTTGTATAAACAGCTGTGTGGCAGAAATTTTATCTTTGCTCTGGGAGCTTCCTTTCAAAAGCCCTTCCATCAGCACTGTGTCCTTTCATCTTGACGGTGCATCCGTCATTGAAATCGTGATGAGCCCAGTTATTTTACAGCAGGTGATGGATCGCATATGATGCATCAATACTGTCTGGATACTAAGTGGATATTTTGCCTCACCAAATCTTTTCTTGTGGTTATCAGCTTTCCAGGTTTTTTTTATAAGATTTTTTCATCTCAAAATAAGTATTTTGTTGTTGTATTTATTTGGCACAATGAACTGATTATTAATAGAATTAAAGAAGTTTTTCACGTGAAAATAAAAATTCTTCGTAACACTTTAGTTTGGGGTCCAATTCTCACTATTAAAGGGACAGTTAACCCAAAAATTTCAAATTCCGTCAGTTCGTTCATCTTTTAATTTGTCACAAATTAAGACATTTTTTTACATTAAAAATACTCTCCCCACAGAGAAGGAAATTAATAGTTGGGTGAGTTAAAACTAGTTAAAGAGTTAGTTCACCCAAAGATAGTATGAACGCCACGTGCTTTGCAAACTAATGGTGAAACGTGCCAATTAGGAATTATGTCATAATAAGTGTAAGTTAAATGTACCGTTTACGACATTTAAAAAAGACAAGAGGCTAACACTGTATAGCCTGAAACGGTATTTTCACACTGCATCCATTCCAGGAGCGGTGCGTAGCAGTGCAGAGATCGTTGACACACCGAGTCTTTTTTTTGCTGTGCTGCACGCGCTGAATTAAAGTGACAGACGCACATAGTTCATGGTCAAAATGAGCACAAATTGACATGACAATGAATTTCATCATAATTAAATACTACTATTTTTCACAGCCATCTTTTTACTTTGAGAATATTTTTATTTAATAGTTAAAAAGATTAAAACATTTTGTTTAAATGTCTTGTCTCTGTCTTTTTACATCAGTGCAAAACTATGGTATGCAGATTAAAACCACTATTCATCAGCATGCATTGATCAATCCCATGGCGTGTTGTAAGAAAAAAAGAAGGCGTGACCAAATCATATGCTGGTGCGACCAACTGAAAAAAGTTGGTTGCGCCAGTGCAACCAGCGGAAAAGTTAGTCTGGAGCCCTGCTTTATGAAATATTTTGCATTAGTTTTGGTTACGTGGACTTTTGATGGAAAGACGTAAAATATAAACATAAAAATATGTTGATGTGTGTATAGAAGTTGAACGAAATTCATATACAGTAGGTTTGGAACAACTTCAGAGTAAGCTAACATGACAGAGTTTTTTTCTTTTTTTTTTGGTAATCTAACCATTTTAAAAAACAATAATCGTTTGTTAATAACAATTGTTAATCTAACAATAAACTAAATATTGTTGAATTATAAGTATTATTATGCATAAAGAACCAAACAAATCCAGGGGCGAAATATGATGTAGACTTAAATGGGAGTGGTCTCTTTTGACCTAGACTGTCAAGCAGCCGCCTAGCAACAACATAGCGACAAACCAGAACACTGGGTAAGAATTAGCTACTGTTTTGGAAAAACTATGATGGCCACCTGCAGCAACCTAGCAATAATGGCTGTAACTTTTACTTGGTTCAGCACCTTTTTCTTTGGAAAATCTAAAAACATTTATAAACATTTCCTGCCCTAAAAAGCTGGTAGTCAAACTGAATAGGTATACTACTTTGCTCATAAGAGGAAGGAGTTTAATGTTCTTGTGTTGTTTTGACTCCAGGTTTCTTAGAAGGTTAAATTGGCCTGCTCTCACTTTTTTTTGTAAACGTCCAGGGGTGTGCTTTTCTTATATTCTTCACTTTCATACTTTGTTCTATTATTGTGTGTTTTATCCCATATTCCTCTGGGTGGCTGCCAGGCTTCCAGATGTCCCTCCACCTGTTAGCAATGTCCAAAATGTTGTTTTTCCCCATTTATGTCTCTGTTGCCTACCCAACCCCGCCACATTCCTTTGGCTGAATGTTTGATTAAATTTCCTAGTTCTCTTGATCCCACTATGTCTGTTCCTCTGTTCTCCTCTAAGGTGTGGCTTGAAGTGAGGAACATTGGAATAACACTCTCCTCAGCATGAGAGTGTCTCACTCCTACTCTCATGTGAACACACTACCACTCCGTCTTTTTACCAGCTTTTTTCCCAGAGGAACAAAACGCGATATTTATGACCTTTCTAATATCAGAGTGCATGGTTTGTTGTTTTAATGTGCTGCGTCTTATGTTTTCCCCTCTCCAGAGCGACCCATCCCCTTTGACCACATGATGTATGAGCACTTGCAGAAATGGGGCCCCAGAAAGCAGGAGGTGAAGTTCTACCTGCGCCACGAAGACTCGCCCACAGAAAGCAGCGATCAGGGTGAGAGCACTCCCTCTTGACTGGTTCTAGGTCACGTCCTGCCCACCACTGCTTTCTTCTCATTGGCAGAATGTTTTTCATTCCCTTTTCAGTGGCCTCTAACATGTGAAAGAAAGAGACAAGCACATCCTGGCCAAACAAGGCAGGGTTCTGTTCATGATTCGATTCTGTTGTGCTATTCACAAAATGAATCAAAGTAGCTTTGCAAGTGTCAGTGCCTTCAAACAACACTCAGCAAGGCAAAATGGCTTGGGATGTCTACCAAAATAAAATAATATCAAATACCACATTTAAGATGAAGAAATATTGTATATGTATTGTGTATATATAGATGAAGAAATACTGATTATAGTAATATATTGCTGGTTATATAATCAAGCACCTTGCCTTTACTGGACAGGTGCAAACAGACATTCACTGTTTTCAAGCACAGCTTGCTATGGGTGACTTAGTTGTGAAATAGTGAATGTTTTACCAAAATAGATAGTAATATTTTATTAAAAGAAAATGTCCGCTAAATTTCTAAATTATAGTAATTTTTTTAAAGGGATATTTTGTTACATGTTGTTATTTCATTGGAGTTACAATTCTTATGAAAATTGCTTGCTATTAGGGTAAGCATTTTTAACAATGAAAATTCTTGTGTGAATTTCAAACATGCTAATATATTGCATAGATACACTACCGTTCAAAAGGTTTGGTAAGAGTTTTTGTTTTTTAAAGTCTCTTATGCTCGCCAAAGTTGCATTTATTTGATCAATAATACAGTAAGAGTAATATTGTGAACTAGTATTACAAATAAAATAAACACATTAAACTGAAATCCTTTTCTATTTTAATATATTTTAAAGTATTATATATTCCTGTGATGGCAACGCTGAATTTTCAGCAGCCATGCATTTCTCCAGTCTCGTGATCCTTTAGAAATTATTCTAATACGCTGATTTGGTGCTCAATAAACTTTTTTTTTTTATCAATGTTGAAACAATTTTTCTGCTTTAATATTTTTGTGGAAACCTATTTTTATAGATTATTTTTCAGGATTCTTTGATGCAAAAGAACAGCATTTATTTGAAATATAAATCTTTTTGTAACATTTTATATTTATTTACTGTCAATTTTAATCAGTTTAATCCTTAATTTCTGCATTATTTTCTCACACTTTTGAACAGTAGTGTATATTCAGATGTTATTGACACTAAGTGGGTAAAACCTCTGAAGTGATTTTATGAAAAGCTATTTTCACAGTATATTGGACCGTTTATTGTATATACAGTTTTGTATATCAGGATGATCAATGAGATCTCACCATGGACAGACCGGTTGCTCGCATTATCCCAGAACATAGTGTAATGCTGCCACATGTACGTGATCGGTGTTAACAGTGCTAAAGTCTTTCTTTGTCTCTTTCTTTATCCTATCATTTGTTTGTTTTTACTCTTTTCATTCACATCCCAGTGAGGTTTTTCCTATCACCATAGGCAGGATTAGCTTGTAGTGAGCGTCCACATGGATTACGGCATAAACCTGAAACCCCTGTGTGTGGGAGGGAAAGAGAGGCAGTAATCCACTGAAAGCACAAGCTCTGTTCTCAGTGTCACATGGCAATAACAAACAGGCCTTTAAACTTTTCCTCCACAGACACAGTCTTGTTCAGCCAGCCATGTTTTGCTTGTTAAAATTCCACAATGTACATTTAGATGCTTTTTTTGTGTTCATTCATGATTGTGTTTCACAATTGAATGTGCTGGGTTTTTTTTTTTGATGGACTTGCTGTATTATATTTCTCCACTCTTAGGGAGCCAGCAGTCTCAGGAGCAGCCCAGCAGGAGAGGAGGAAGCAGCTCAGACATGCACAACGAGAATGGGGTTAGTTCATATCACATCCTCATCAAAATGTGTGCCTCTTTTTCTAATCTTAGCATTGTGGTTATTTCAAATGCATCCTGGGGGGTTGAATTCCACACCCTTATAAAATCGTATGCTTTTCTGCTTACTGTAATGCAAAGTAGCAGCTGCAAAGTTCTGGCTGAAGTTGACACTCTTCGGTACTGAAGCGTTTCAATCACGTCACGTTATTCAATCTTCCTCTGTTAAGCCGAGCCAAACGCAGCCAGACCTGTCACGTCCCAGATTCACTCAACATTTTCTTTCATATTAGCATTTGTCACATCACTCATTCTTTTTGTGTAGTCCACTGCGCTCGTCTCCTACAACCATCTGGCCCAGATTCCAACAGGGGAAAAGCCAGGCTCCAGTAAGTGGAACTAATTCCACCTTCAGGGAGAAAGATAACTGTAGACCACCAGTGTATGGAAAGAGGAAACTCAAGCATTTATGGGGGCATGCTTTTTTCCATACAGTCGTCTCGATCTTCAGAGATGGAACGATGGCACTGGTAGTTGGTTGGTGAGGGAGCTGATTAGTGATGCTGTTGCCAACCAGGCATGAAGTCTCAGCACTACGGTGCTTAGCAGACAATTTTTTCTGACAGATTTTGCCCTCCTGTAGGGACTGTTACACAACACCTCTGTCTGCCTGTCTTGTCAGGTACCCATATGACTCTCATTTTCACTCTCTGTTTGTGTTTGAGTGGATTCAAGAGGGTTAATTTATATGGAATTTGGCTATGTTGGCCCATGATCCTGCAAGTTCTCTGTATAATTTGATTTAAATGGTTTGGTTTGACAACTGATAATTAATTTGCCATCTGTTCAGAGGAAAGGTTGAGGACAGAATGAGAATTGCTCTGCCATAGTTGACTTGGAAGAGAGATATCTCGCACAAGTTTTTGTCAAGCGTGATCTCATGAAAGAGTTGGTTAGAAGCAATGGTTTATAGTAAAAGTTAGTATTTAAATGAGTGTTTTTCTTAATAATTTCACTTCTGAAGACATTGATTCATCAACTTTGGTCTAATGAATTACTGTGGTGTTTTCTTTGTGGTTTTTGAAGCGTCACATTTATTGCCACCTTGCATTTACATATTACAAGGGCTTTTCTAAACATTTTCATTTGTGTTCATTTGAAGAAAAAAATCATATACATGTCGGATGGCATGAGTGTGAGTAAATGATTAAATATCCATATCTATTTCAAAATCGTGTTAATTTGGTCAGCAAATTTTTTTTTTGTATTTTTGTACTTTTTTTTAATTTTTTATCATGTTTAGTCAACCTTGTCCTGTTTTTTTGTTTAGTCATTTTATTCGACTAAATATCTTGGAGAAAACTTGAATTTCATAAACTATTTCATCAAGCTGCATAATGGGTAAACTGACAATAACAATTATTTTGCTCTCAATTATTATCAGAACAATTGTTGTTATTTGAGAAATTATTTTTACTTTTCAATCAGAATTATTGCACTTTCAACTATAAGAGCACTCATACGCTTGATTTACTTTACTGCATCTAGTGTACTTATTTACTATAGTATATGTATCATTATTTAACACTCTCTGTCTACATTATGAAAACTGTTTTAAAAAAAAGTGAAATTCCTAAAAAATAATTCCAGATTACATTTAATGTTTTTCTATTAAAACAACAGCAAAAAAAGATTGTGTACAGTCACACTCACACAGAGGTTGCAAGTGCATTTATTCCGCAACCACAGTACAAACAATATAGTCGTGATCTTTGTTTGGAGATATTACAGAGAAGGTTTTCTCCCAGCATTTAAAACACGTAAACCCACATTCTTTGGGCTTATTGAAGTGCACGTATGTGCATCCAGAGAGCACTGGTAGAAGGACATGTATCGCAAACTACTACTTGACCTAAGAAACGTGTTCTCATCCCATGTTGAAGTACAGTCAAAATGCTGCATCTGCATTGGCATGAGAGGATAATGTGTGTCTGTAAATGTTGAAATACTGAGTCAGATACAAAAATGATTAGGATCTTTTTTTACCTCACTGTCCCGGGAAATAACCTGATTTAGCCTATAAACACTCCACCTTTTCTAGCAAAATAGAAAAAGATACTCGTATATAAAACAAAGCAATAAAACAAGCAAATTAATGGGTAAATAAGCAAGATAATAATCAAATATGTAAGTCCCGCCCCCTCGCTATTAATATCGTGTATCGCCGATCTCACAGGCTGACGATAGTGCGATATGAAAATGGAGGATATCACCCAACACTAGTGCATTTATGTGAGAGTGAAATTCTTTGAAACCTTATAACACGTTCAGCTGTATTGTTATTCTCCTGTTACGTCTTTATTATTTTGTGGATTACCCCCATTTCATGACATAACCGCTTTTAAGAGGATCATCCCCCTGGTTTTTACAGCAGGGCTGTTTTCTCTGATTCGACTTCTGTTTCTCTGAAGATGTCTCTCTCTCTCTCTCTCTCTCTCAACACCACGCCCATTGTTCACAGTATGGTAAATCCCTGAATGTGTGGCCACATTTTTCCCCTTATGAAATAGTGGGTGGCCCACTCTCTCTCTCTCTCTCATTTCCTATCGCTGTCACTCCATCTGTTGTCTTTTGCTCTTTCTGAGAGTTTCCTTTCTAACCGTGTGGCTTTTCAGAGGGTCACCGTGGCCCTGTCTGCAGTGGAGTGTGTCAGTGCATGCTGGGACTTTCAGTCCTTTTTTTTCATCCCATCACCTCATCCCTGCACACTTCGTTCATCTACACAGCTCGTGACTGACTTTGTGTCCCAAGGGAGAGTCTAGAAGGTAAGGCTGCCTCTGCGTAGGATGGTCTTTTCTGCATGGAGAGCAGTCTCTTTTCAATAATAGATTTCTGAACATTCATAGATTTAATGCCTTTCAATGGTTAAATCAGCTGTTGTCAGTCTGTGTGTGGTCCATTGTACTTGGAAAGTAATAAGAACTGTCCGTCTTTTTGTTGTGTTCTTTGTGATGGATTAAATGGGTAATAGACTGCTCTATGCTATTTAATAGCACTAGTGCCACTGCTTACAGGAACACCATGCCTGTCCATCACACATGCAGAGTTATGAGCTCCAGAATGCTGAACTGTGTGGGCAGATCATGTTTTATAAAGTTTCGTGTGTGGGCAGATATTTTCTCCAGGGCTTCACGTGTTCCAGGTTTTGCTGTTTCTTTTCTCATTTCCCTCAGCACTTCGCTTTTCGTCATGAATATAATTATTTTGAAAATGTCTCTTGATCTTTTATTCTTAGTTTCTACCTTATTCTTCTTCCACTGAAACAGTTATGTGAACTTGCATGCAACTTTATGATTTCAGGTTTATTATGAATAGCTTGTTAGTTGTCTGCTTATTTTCATAAGTTTCCAATGTTTGTTAGTTTTTGTTAGATATAAGTGATTCATGTAGCAGATGTTGTATCCAAAGTGATCATTTTGATTATTTTATATTAAATAGCAGTTTTAATGCAACGTTTGTATTGTATACTGCAGCTTTTTTACTAATATTTTCATAAAGTACAATATTTAGAGGGTTCTCAAAATCACATTATAACTGAAATATACCTTAATGAATTAGAATAAAATCGAAACGGATTAATGAGGTCAGTGACCTGGCGTTCTAATGTACAGCTTATCATAACATTGCTTGAACATCTTTTACATCCTCTCTAAGATCTGCACAGCTTTCAGGCCAGTGCCAATAAATGAGCGTCGGTCTAAATCTTAGTGTGGAAAGCGGATTATATGTGTGCCTCCTCCATGCCAAGAGTCAGCTGAACATGCTGTCCATGTGGGTGCAGTCTGTGAAGTGATGAAGGATGTATACTTATATTGCTCAACTTGTTATAAAACTCCTTAGATGTGCAGCACATCATCAAAATAATTTTTCTGTTAGAAGGCGAGCCTTAGCTTTTTATTTCACCAGCCAGCTTTGGCAACATGTAAAGCTGCATCCAAATCTGCTTTGATTGGGAAACTAGAGGTTTGGGGCATAGGGAGAATCTATATATATTCTATATCTAAACATCTAATCTATATGTATATATATATATATATATATATATATATATATATATATATATACATACTGTATATATTATCTATATCTCTCTCTCTATATATATACAGTATATATATATAAATATAATCTCTCTCTCTCTCTCTCTCTCTCTCTATATATATATATATATATATATATATATATATATGAAGAGTTCAGATGCAAAAGCCTCTAAATGCCATTTGAAATTTTCTTCTAAAATGACAATTTTTATCAAGCTTGTAAATTTAAGTTCAGTAATTTCACTTAGATGACAATTAATAGGTAATCTTCATTGCCATTTAAGTGAAATTACTGAACTTAAATATACAAGCTTGATAAAAATGATCATTTTAGAAGACAATTTCAAATGGCACTTAGAGGCTTTTGCATCTGAACTCTTCATATATATATATTTATGTATGCGTGTATGGTATGTCTGTGTGTGTGTATATATATATATATATATATATATATATATATATATATATGCATACGCATACGTACATGTATCTCGGCAGCAATGCTTGCCAATTAATTAGCACTTTCTGGTTTGGTGACATGTTTTTAAGAAGTTGTATTTTGGACCGATGTGTAGGCTTGCTGTGTTTCCGGTCTTACACAGTGTTTGTCTGTACACCATTTACAATAACTGCCCACCATGACACCGGCCCGTCGGTTTTTGTTTCTATAAAAATACAAAATGACAATTTAGTTCAGTTGGGCAACTGCTCCATACAGCACGAGCAGCAGAGTCGTAGTACAGTGCAGCAGCTGGAGTCAGATTACATGTGACGAGAGGAAGGAGAGATGACTGATAAAATGATGGCTGAAGATTTGGTGCGCAACAGATCCTGAGCGTCATTGACAAACGTCTTAGCTTTGTAAATAACCTGTATATTGATAGCGGCTCAAACCACC